TGTCTGGCAGTGACATTTGAGGAGGAGGGAGGGGGAGAAAATACCCTTCATCAGTGGTGGCAGACCTATGGGGCCTGTGCCACAAATGGCTGTTTATTATTAAAATAACTCTAAAAGGTTCACCATCATTGCTTCTACAGCCTTAAGTGTTGAGCTGTTACTGTGTTGCAAAATCCCATTTGCCTTAATTCTTGATGATCTTTGTTAATCTTTCAAGAAATCACCCAATGTGGGCCGGGGATTTAGCTCTGTGGTTCCACTGCCTGCCTTACAAGCACAAGGTCCCAAGTTCGATCCCCGGTACAAAAAAAAAAAAATATATACACACACACACACACACACACACACACACACACACATATAAAGAAATCACCCAATGTGATATATTTGAGAATAACAGGGCAGTAAAATCACTCAACGACCAGTGCTGTGTTTCTAGAGATTTGTGGTATTTAGCTTTATTTTCTGTACTCTTTGTTGTGGGAGCTCCTACTAAGGTAGCTCCTGATTTTGAGAAGTAGAACTAGGACACAGTACTTTTCTAGAATGTGCTGTGCTTCTATAGCTTTAAATTGTCTCTAGGGAGCAATAGTATGTTTTACCTAACTTTGATATGAACGGGAAGAAGGACCCTCCACCTTCTCCCCTTGGCCTAAGGAAAAGAAAAGCACATTTGGTACTTTTGGCCTTTCCAATTTTTTTTTTCAAGTAGAAACTCTTTAACTAAAAACTGCTATGTACCTAGGCTAAATGGATTCAAATAATAACATATATCCTTGCTATTTAGACATCCAGAAAAAGGAAAATTTCTTTCTTTTCTCCTTTTTAAAGTGTGTATCTCATTAAATTTGTATATTACTACAGCTGTGTGCTTTGGCCAATGATCAGAACATTTGCTGTTTTTTTGTTTTGTTTTGTTTTGTTTTTTTATGAGAACATGTAATGACATCTTTAAGATTTAATGCCCAGCACTTCCAAAAAAAAAAGTCACATGAATGTAGTCAACTTTCTATCCATAGTGTTTTTGCCTGCATAAATTAATTCCCTATAATCTAATGTCCTAGGGAGAAGGAACGTATACTGCTGTGGGACATGGGTGGTATAAGGAATTACTTTTTCATCTCTGTATAGTAAAAATTGATTTTGGTCTTTTTGCTTTATAAGCAAAATGTTTCAATTATATGTAAATGTCTGTATTTCATTTTGAATGTGGAGAATGTTGAAAAGAATTACTTGATCTTTTCTAACCTTTTAGAAGAGTTGATTGTTTATTTCATATGCTGTTTCTTTTCTTTTGTATCCAGTCGTACCCCATGGCTTATACATGTTTTTTCCAAAATGCTTCATTTACAGAAAAGTCAAACATACACAAAATAAACTGAATAACTTGAGGAACCCTTTTGTACTCATCACCACCCTGCTTTAAATCATTCACATGCTATGCTTTGATTTATACTTCTTCTCCTTCCCTTCCTCTTTTCAGTTTTTTCACTCTTTTTTTTTTTTTTTTTTTTGGTACCAGGGATCGAACTCAGGACCTTGTGCTTTCAAGGCAGGTGGCGGCACCCCTGAGCTAAATCCTTGACTCCGTTTTTTAACATTAAGTTCATATACATTGAAGTACACAATGTTTTTTTTTTTGGTACCGGGGATCGAACTCGGGTCCTTGCGCTTGCGAGGCAGGCCACCGAACCGCTGAGCTAAATCCCCGGCCCCCCCTGTTTTTTGGTTTTTTGAGATGGGGTCTCGCCAGGTAGTTGAGACTGACCTGGAACTCACTGTGTGGCCCAGGCTGGTCTTGAACTCATAGCGATCCTCCTGCCTCAGCCTCCCAAGTGCTGGGATTACAGGCGTGTGCCACCTGAAGTACACAAATTTAAGCTATACAGTTATAACTACGTAGCACACATCTATCATATTATAGGACATTCTTTGTCTTCTCAAAAAGTTACCTTGTCCCTTCTAAGACAGTCCATGCCAGGAAACCATTGTTCTCTTTAGTTTTACCAGTTGTAAAGTATCATATAAATTGAAGAATGTCATGTAAATTGAATCATATATCACTTTTTGTGTCTAGGATTTTTTTGGTTGTTTGTTTTTTAAATTTGTTTTTGTTTCTGTTGAGACAGGGTCTCACTATGTAGTTCAGGCTGCCCTCAGACTCAAAGTGATCCTCCTACTACAGGCGTGCACCACCACACCGAGCTGTGTTTAGCTTTTTAAAATTAAAAAAAAAATTTTTAATTTTTTCTTTTATTTTTCCTTTCTTTCTTGCAGTATCGAGGTTAGAGCCTAGCTTCTCACACCTGCAAGGCAAGAAGGCTACCCGCTGAGCCACACCGCTCAGTCCATTGTCGAGCTTGGCTTATTCAGCGTTACATCTGAGACTCATCTGTGTTGTAGTCCTCTGTTTTACTGAGTGTAGTCCATTGTACGAATACAAATGTTATGGCACTCAGAGGCCAGGCAGACCAAGGAAGAGAGTGACACTCAGAATTGAAAGGAAAGGCAGGTTTATTCTTTGGCGGGCTCAGTGGAAGTCACTTTCCAGAGTCTGAGCTCCGAAACTAAATGTGTTTTCATTTTTATAGTGCTCTTCAGGCAGGGTCGGGGAGCAAGCAGAATTTTACATAAGTAGATTGGCTCAGGGCACGGAGGTACAGGCAGATGTTCAGCAGTTCATCTTTTGGGCACAGTGACCTTCGTGAGTTTAGTAGAAGAGACAAGTCTTGAGACTGTTAGTCTCTACCTTACCCTGCCTTATTTCACAAACACAGTTTGTGCACCAGTTCTCTTAATTGTGAATATTGGGGTTTCAGTTTTTGCATTTATGTTGTGATCAATGACATATACAAGTCTTTGGATGACTTACATTTTTATTTTTCTTGGATAAATACCCACAAATAGAATTGCTGGATCAAAGGGCCAATGTGTGGTTAATTTTATAAGAAACTGCTAACCCTTTTTCTAAAAGTTAATGTCATTTTACATTTCCACTGGCAAAATATGAAGGTCTGGTTGCTCCACCTCCTTGCCAACATTTGAGTCGTCAGTCTTTAATTTTAGTTCTTGTAATGAGTATCTTTAGATATTCTTCACAGAATAAAATACATTTTATTTTGAGAGTTTCATGATTTGTCTTGAGATAGTTGGAAATAATCCATAATTTAGTACAGTTTTTAAGCCCTTCTTAAAATTTGAACTAGAATAGATGCTGATCAAGATTCAGGATACAAACCGGGCATGGTGGTGCACGCCTGTAATCCCAGAACTTGTGGGGCAGAGGCAGATTCACCGTGAGTTCAAGGTCATCCTGGGCTACATAGTGAGTTCAAGGTCAGTCTGAACTACATAGACCCTGTCTCAAAAAGACAAAACTCAACAACAACAGAAGATTAGAAGGCCTAGGATATTCTTGCCTACTAATCTATGGCTAGAGCTTGGAGTTTGTGAGGGAAAATTTTTTACTAGGCCTTTATATCTATTTTAGCATCTTACAGCTTCCAAAATATATTCTCATGTATTTGTTCTTGACAGCAAATGCAGGTCCCATTTTGTAAATGAAGGAATGGGAGCTTTGAGATTTGCCTAAGTTTTTAGGGACTGAAGCTTGGGAATCCTGACCTCCTTGAGTATTCTTCCCCTAGCACCTCAGAATGACTACCATACCACGTTAGTAGGTATATTAACATTTGACCAGTACAGTATTAGTTGTATTCCACAGAATGTTGTATTGCTTTGAAACATGTACTATCAATTTGTCCTTTTCATGGGGCTTCTAAGGAATTCCCAAAGTTGTCTTAGTCTTTGTAGTAGATTAACCCGGGGATTATAAAATTGCTGCGCTTGTCTTTCTGAAAACAAAGATGTTACCACGTACGTTGGTTCACATTGTGTTGCTTTAATTAACAAAATACAGAAGGCTGGATAGTGAATAAAGAAAAGTTTATTTAGCACAAGCTCTTGAGTTCTGAAGATTCAAGAGCGTGGCACTGGTGAAGGCCACCTGGCAGATGGCATCATATGCTGGGAGCATGTATGAGAATGCTGAGAAATGGTTTTTCTTTTCTTTCTTTTTGTTTTGGTTTTTTGAGACAGGATCTCACTATGTAGTTGAGGCTGACCTGGAACTCACAGCAGTCCTCCTGCCTCAGCCTCCTGAGTGCTGGGATTACAGGCATGCGCCACAATGCCTGGCTTTTTTTTTTTAACAGATAGGGTCTTCCTATGTTGTTCAGTCCTAGACTCAAATGATTTTCTTACTTCAGCCTCCCAAGAATTGGGATTGTAGGAATTTGTGCCTGACAAGAAATACATTTAGAAAGTTGGTTCAGAGGGATGCTGAGCTCCCTAATAACCCATTTTCTAAGGAACTGTGAGGTCTCATGAGACCTGCATTAATACTTTATTATAGCGGTGGTGTCCCTTTAACCTAATTACCTTCCTCTGGTATTTCCTCTTTTTTCTTTTGTTTGTTTTTTGTTTTTGGACACAAGATCTAACTTTATAGTGCTGGCTGGCCTTGAACTCACTATCTAGCAATGCTGGCCTTGAACTTGCAGCAGTCCTCCTGACTCAGCCTCCCAAATGCTGGGGTTACGGGCATGTACCACCACATCCAGTAGGTTAAAGTTTCCATTACCTTAGCACTGAGAAACGAGCTTCTAGCATATAACTTTTGGGGGCCATACTCAAGCCAAATTCAAATAATGTAATTTTCAGGGTCCTCTTAGGAATTCTTATCTGTGTTTCCTAGAAATACTGTCTTTGGTTACCTAGATGGCTTTAGCAGTGGGTATCTATCATCGCGTACATTGTTGTGGTCAGGAGACTGTTACAGCAGGTGAACCAATCTGAATGATTTACACGAGACTCTACCAAAGTGAACAATACTTCTAACTTTCCAAAGCAAGGTGCAGTTATATCTATTCAACAGTCAACCTGCTTTTGCCCCATTGTCACGTAGTTATGTATGTCATTTGTTTGTTTTATTTTAGTGATGTCCTTGCATTGCCCATTTTTAAACAAGAAGAGTCAAGTCTGCCTCCTGAGAATGAGAATGAAATCCTCCCTTTCCAGTATGTGCTTTGTGCTGCCACCTCTCCGGCAGTGAAGCTCCATGATGAAACCCTGACCTATCTTAATCAAGGTTAGATGCTTCCGCATTCAATGGTATTATTGCACCCTCACTGGCTTCATGTGTTCCTAGGGACACACTTATGTAAAAAGCTAAATCTTTCCAGTGTGGCCTATCAGACTAGAAGCCTTATGTCAGAGATTTTACTTTTAATGTCATATTTGATATATATTATTGGCTTTTTTGTCTACTGTCCATTTTTAGTTCTCTGCTCCCTGGTTTTTTGTTTTTAGGTTTTTTTTTGAGACAGGGTCTCACTGTGTAGTGAAACTGATCTGGAACTAACTCACTGTGTAGCCCAGGCTGGTCTCGAACTCACAGCCACCCTCCTGCCTCAACCTCCCGAGGCCTGGGATTACAGGAGTGTGCCACCACACCTGGCTTGCTCCCTGTTTTTTGTTTTGTTTTGTTTTGCTTTTTGAGACAGGGTCTTATTGTGTCGGTTAGGCTGGCTTTGGACTCACCATGTAGCCTAGTTTCAGCCATCCTCGCGACTCAGCCTCCTGAGTGCTGGGATCACTGGTGTGTGCCACCACACCTAGCTATTAAGCTTCCTGTTTCTAATCCATATATCCTGGACATCTCCAGTGATTACTATCTGAGAATTAGTACCATCTGCAGCACTTCTGTTTTCCAGTGTTTGGCCTTAGACAAGTTGTTTAAACTCTTTAAGTTTTAATTTTCTTATCTGTAAATGAGACCATTAATACCTTAGAAGGCTGTATCAGTTACAGGAAATAATATATGGAAAATATTAGCACAGTGCCTAGCGTCTCGTAAAAGCTTACTGTTGTTTCTAATAGAAGGAATGTTATCTCATATATTCAACCAACTTAATTTTATCCTTTCTGATTCTACATAGATTAATTTGTGATGAGTATAATAATTAATTACATTTTCTTCTAGGACAGTCTTATGAAATCCGAATGCTAGATAACAGGAAACTTGGAGAACTTCCAGAGATTAATGGCAAATTGGTGAAGGTAAAAGAAAATGAATAAATCATTCTTCTGCACGGTAATTCTGGATTTTTTTGGGGGGAGGACTCGCATTCTTTTGTTTCCATAAGGGTTCAGTGGCATCTCAGCTGCCAGAATTGGCTGGCAGAGTAGCAGACTGATAGGGAGGCTGTATGGTGGCAGGCAGGGGAGTTGGTGAGCTTTTCATAAATACGTGCAGAGCAAAGCTAGTTATTCCATGGTATAATAGTAGATGCATGGGGATTTAGCTCAGTGGTGCCGCACCTGCCTCCTAGGCATAAGGCCCCGAGTTCATTCCCCAGTACCAAAAAAATAGTAGAAGCATATGGAAATGCTTCACATAGCTCCTGGTGTAGTGGTGCCTGCCTGTAATTCCAGCTACTGGGGAAGCTGAGACAAGAGTACCACAGTTTCCCGGCTAGCCTGGGCAACTTAGTGGGATGCTGTCTCAAAATTTAAAAAACAAAAAGAATAAAAAAGGGGAGAAGTGTGGCTCAGTGGAAGAATGGTTGTTTGGCGTGCATGGGGCCCCAAGTTTAATCCCCAGCACTGGGAAAAAACAAAACAAAACAAAAAAAAACACCTTCATGGCCCTGGGTTTAATCCCCAGCACTGGGGAAAAGAATATTTCATGTAGGAGTCCTTTAACATTTTAAGTAATTATACCAGTTAACTACAAAGATTATATATGATAAATTATAAAATTTATCCTGAAGCTTGTTTATTTTAAAGCTTGGTATGGTACAAGTTTTAGAGGGAAATAGTTGTGTAATTTTGGATTATGTCTAGAAACCAAGCGGTGGTAACTGCTTATTTTCCTTTGTCGGCCCTGAGTTTTAAGGAACCCTGTTAATTGATTTTGTTGTTCCCTTTAGAGTATATTCCGTGTAGTGTTCCATGACAGAAGGCTGCAGTACACTGAACATCAGCAGCTGGAGGGCTGGAGGTGGAACCGACCCGGAGATAGGATCCTTGACATAGGTGAGTTAAGAGAATCGGTTGCTTAGGAAATGCCTTTAACCACGCGCACGCGCGCAGAGTTGGTTTTCTTTACTTGTTATTTACCTTGAATCCTGTGCTTCAGAAGCTTAATTAGCATGAACCCTGAAGTGGTTATTTAGGAAACTTAAACATTACCTGTGTGATGATATAAAAATTTAGGTTGGAGGTATAAACATTTCAGTTCCATAGCAATTGTATTCATTATTTCAGGGTGGCTTTTTTTTCTTTTTATATTGTAAACCACAGTAGCATTCAGTATAATTTATCATAATGTGTGACAAAATGCATCATTTTAGCCATTTCATTTATTTAATTTTATTTATTTTTTGGTACCAGGGATCAAACTCGGGACCTGTGCCTAGGAAGGCACAGCCTCACTGAGCTAAATTCCTGGGCTCGTAGCCATTTTATTTATTTATTTATTTATTTATTTTTGCTACCGGGGATTGAACTCGAGTCCTTGCGCTTGCAAGGCAGGCCAACGAACCGCTGAGCTAAATCCCCAGCCCCTTGCCATTTTAAATGTACAGTTCAGTAGCGTTAAGTACCTTCACTTTGTTGTTGTACAGCTGTCATTGCTGTCCATCTCCAGAATTTTTTTCATCTGACACGATTAAAACTTGTACCCATTAAACAATAACTCTTCATCCTCACTTCTCTTAGCCTCTGGTAACCACTATTCTGTCTCTGTCTCTAGGAATTGGATTAGTCTAGGTACATGTAAGTGAAATCTCTTTTCTTTCTTTCTGGTACTGGGGATCAAACTCAGGACCTTGCACTTGCCAGGCAGGTACAGTGCCACTGAGGTAAATCCCTGACCCAGTGAAATCATTAATTATTCATTCTTTTGTGACTACCCTCATTCACTTAGCAGTGCCTTCAATTTCAGCCCTGTTGTAACATATATGACAGAATTTCCTTGTTTGTTTGTTTATTTGGTACTGGGGATTGAACTCAAGCCCTTGTGCTTGCAAGGCAGGCAGCAGCACCAATGAACTATATCCCCAGCCCAGAATATTCTTTGTTGCTGGGCACAGTAATCTCAGCTACTCAGGAGGCTGAGGTTGAAGGATCATGATGATTACAAGACCAAAGGCAGCTTGGGCAACTTAGTGAGACCCTATCTCAAAATTAAAAAGATGGGGATGTAGCTCCGTGGTACAGCACCTCCCTAGGTTTCATCTGTAGCAGAGTGCACACACACACACACACACGCACACGCGCGCGCACAGGATTGTCTTCCTTTTTAAGGCTGAATAATATTTCACATATGTACTTACTTTGTTTACCCATTTGTTGATGGACACTTCCACCTTTTGTCTATTATAAGTAATTATTCAAGAACATGGACGTACAAATGTGTGTTTGAATCTCTGTTTTTATTTCCTTTGGCTGTATACTCAGAAATGAGATAGCTAGATCATATGGTAATTCTAATTTTAATTTTTTTGAGGAAATGGTATATTGTTTTCTATAGTAATTGCACATTTTACATTCCTACAGTATGTTCAAAGTTTTCAATCTTTCCTCCTCCTCCTGCTCCTCCTCTCTCTTTTTCCTCTCCTCCCCCGTCTTTCTGTGTGTGTGTGTGTGTGTGTGTGTGTGTGTGTGTGGTACTGAGGATCAAACCAAGGCCTTCTGTCTGCTAGGCAAGTGCTCTACCATTAAACTACACCTTCAGCCTTACTTTGTATTTTTTTTTTGTAGTAGCTATCCTAATGGGTATGAAATTATGTCTCATTGTGATTGTGACTCAATTTTCCCTGATGATTACTGACATTGAATATTGTTACATATGCTTTTTTATGGTACCGGGGATTGAACTTGTGTCCTTGTGCTTGCGAGACAGGCAGCAGAACCACTGAGCTAAACCCTTGGCTGTATATCTTTTCGAAGAAATATCTATTCAAGGCTTATGCCCATTTTTGAGTTGGTTTTATGATTGTTGTTATGGTTGTTTTTGAGGTATAAGAATCTTTAGATATTCTAGATATTAATTCCATATGATATATCATATACAAATATTTTGTCCTGTTCCATGGGTTGCTTTTTTACTATGTTCAAAACATCATTTGATGGGGCCAGGGATTTAGCTCAGTGGTTCCACCACCTGCTTCGCAAGCGCAAGGTCCCTGGTACTAAAAAAAAAAAAAATCATTTGATGTTCAAAAGTTTTGAATTCAACTGGGTGTGGTTGTACATGCCTGTAATTCCAGTACTCAGGAAGCTGAGGTAGGAGAATTGCTGCAAGATCAAGATCAGCCTGAACTATGTAATAAAACCCTGTCTCTAAAAAGAAACAAATTTTAGGGCTAAGGATTTAGCTCAGTGGTTCTGGCGCCTACCTCACAAGCACAAAGACCCGAGTTTGATCCCAGGTACCTAAAAATAAATAAATAAATAAATAGAAACAAAATTTTTTAAAAGTTTTGATTTTGGGGTAGTCTTAATTTATCTATTTTCTAAATTTACTTTGTTTATATTGTCTAACATTCTAAGAAATGTTAAAAATCCAGTGTTATAAAACTTCCCTTATATGTTTTATTCTAAGAGTTTTACAGTTTTAGGTTTTATATTCAGATCATGGATCCATTTTGGTCATTTTTTACATGTGGGGCAAGATAAGGGTCCAACATTTTTTTTGCATAGTATCCCAGTACCATTTGTTGAAAAAGACTGTTCTTTATTCCATTGAATGGTCCTGGCACCCTTGTTGAAGCTTATTTGACCATATATTTGACTTATTTCTGGACTTTCTATTCTATTCCATTTGTCTTTGTCTTTTTTTTTAGACAGGGTCTTTCTGTGTTTCCTGGGCAGGCTTGCCATCTTCCTGCCTTAGCCTTCCAAGTAGCTGATACTACAGCTGTGCACCAGTGTATCAGCACAACTGGCAATATGTTTTATTTTCATGCCTATACCATGCCATACTGGTTGTTTTTTGCGGGGTGAGGGGTGGGATGGTGTTTGAGATAGGCTCTCACTGTGTAGTACAGGTTGACTTTGACCTTGGTATTAAAGCTCATTCTGTCTCTGAACTTGTGATAGTTCTTCCTCAGCCTTTCAAATGCTGGAATTATAGGTGTGTATCATCATGCCTGGCTAACATAGCTTTTTTGGGCCATACTGGGGATTGAACCTAGAGCCTTCACCATGAGCTACAGCCCCCTCCCTTTTCTTTTTATTTTGAGACAAGATCTCACTAAGTTGCGGAGTTACCCAGCCTGGGCTTGAATTTGCAATCCTCTTGCTTCAGCTTCCCAGAGGGCTAGGATTACGGGCATGTGCCACTGTGCCTAGATCATATTAAAAAGTGTAACTTTGTGGTACATTTCAAGTCAGAAAGCTGAGATCTTCCAACTTTGTTCATTTCCTAGCTCTCTTTGGCTGTTGAGCTCTGATATTTTGTTTGAGTAGTATCTACAGGGGTCCAGGTTTTTTCCCCAACGTGATTGATGATAGTTCATTGGTTTTACTAATGCCTGAACACCAGATTAGTTGTTACCTTAAATGGACATTCTGGGATTAGAATCTATGTTTCTCGGTTTGTAGTTTAGGTTTTTTTCTATTACTTTGCTGCACAGTGGAATTTGCCTTTCCTAAAAATAGGGTATAAGGGAAGGATTTTCACAAATACATATCAGCGTTTGTTCCTGAGAGAATATTTTTATTTTGTTTTGCTCTGGGCTTTTTTGGCATTGCTTGGGATTGAGCCCAGGGCCTTGCACAAGCTGGGAACAGACTTTGCCTTGGAACCATAACCCATCCCTCCTTAACGAACTTTTAATTCCAGCATCTCCAGTTGATTAATATTTTTTATGGTAAACACAGTTGTTAAACTAATTTAAGTACTACTGATTTTACCTGAGGACATGCTGCTTCTCATACAGATATTCTGAGATCTGTATGGTAATTGACCTTAGGATGAATCAAACACAATCAACACCATAGAGTAGAACTCTCTTCTTTGAATCATTGGTTCCAAAACCACGTTTATTTGTAATGCAGTTATGATAATGGATAATATCACCTAGCCTTATCTCTTAACTTGAAAATTAGAAATCAGGCAATGATATTTGGGTATCTGCCGTGTGGAATACAAGGCAAGGTTCTATTGAAACCCACTAAGTCTTACTCTGCTCTTGAGTATAAGATTTGTCAGTGTGAGCTGGGTATGGTGGCGCAAGCCTGTAATCCCAGCACTCGGGAGGTTGAGGCAGGAGGATCGCTGTGAGTTCGAAACCAGCCTGGGCTACATAGTGAGTTCCAGGTCATTCTCAACTACATAGTGAGACCCTGTCTCAAAGAAAACAAACAAACAAAAAAATTTTGTCACTGTGTTTTAGGATTATTTAATGACTTGATAAGTCAGCATCAATCTTTGTGTTAAAAATTTTTCATTTCTGTCTGTGAAGTAATACTTTGTGCTATTGTACAGACACTATGCTTCATGTGTCTACAGCAACCCTCTTATTATGCTTCTAGCAATAACACTGATCTTAAGACTACATGAAACACAGGGCTGGGTACGTAGCTCAGTGGCACTGCACCTGCCTGGCAAGCACAAGGTCCTGAGTTCAATCTATGGGTACTGCAAAAACAAAACAAAACAACACAACAACAACAACAACAAAATGCCTACATGAAATACATCATAAATTATAATTTTCATGATTGTACAGCTAGTCTGTAGATTCAGTCCGTCTTTAAATAGATTTTTTGGCAAATTAAAAGGAAACTGCCTTAAATTGCCTTGTTGTACAACTTAAAAGTGGAGAAATGGCTCTTTAGAAGAATGCTTAATTTTTACAATCAAACGTTTTATTGGTAGAAAAGAATTTAGGATGTGAAATACAAGAATCTCAGTAACTAGTGGTGAATGATATAAGAACCAGTGCTTTCTCACTTAAAACTGAGTAGACCTGGGTGTGTAAGTGCATACCTGTAGTCCCCGCTACTTGGGAGGCAGGAGAATCTCTTGAGGACAGGATTTTGAGACTTATCTGGACAACATAGTGAGACCTCATCTCAAAAAAACAAAAATAAACAGCTCTTACCATTGTTCACTAATTACTTTTTTGTCTCTCAGATATCCCAATGTCTGTGGGTATCATCGATCCTAGGGCTAATCCAACCCAGCTAAACACAGTGGAGTTCCTGTGGGACCCTGCGAAGAGGACATCTGTGTTTATTCAGGTATGGCGCTGTGGAGGGGACCCAGTTATGAAAGGTGTCCATCAAGACCAGCTAGTTTCTTAAAGGATCAGTTGTTGTACATTTGAAATCTTTTAAAAAAATTTTGATGCTGGCGATTGAGCCCAGGGCTGCATACATGCTACACACACATTCACTACCACTGAGATGCACATCTCACCTGCAGATCTGACATCTTTTCAGGTTCTAACCTATCAAGTCCAGAGTCCTCAATGTGTGCCTGTGCCCTGGGGAGTTTTGAATTGCTTTTCTAATGACTTCGATTTATTTATTTATATCTCTCCAAAATGATTATAATTCTTTGTACCACAGCCTACCTAACAATTACGTAGCGTGTAAATTGTTGTAATTTTTCACTGTTGTCCATAGTATTTTGAACATCTATGTACTTTTTTTTTTGGTACTGAGATTGAACCCAGTGCCTTCATACCGTATACTTAAATTTTGATTTATGTCAGGTGTGATGATGCACACCTATGATTCTCACACATGGGAGGCTGAGGCAGGAGGATCATCTTGAGTTCAAGGGCAGCCTGAACTACATAGAAAGACCCTGTCTCAAAACAAAACAAAAAATTGATTTGCACGTCTGATTATATCCTTTGGGTAGATTGTTCAAAAATCTATTTATAATAATAATAATTAATAGTTCACCAAGTACTTAATGTGTTAAGTAAACACTTTGTATATATGTGATTTTAAGACTTATGAGGCTTAGAGAGACCAAGTAATTTACCCAGGCTAGTAAAGTGATCAACCAAACAAAGCTCCACTGTTAAGACTCACCAGTCTTAAGGTTGGGGTGTGGTTCAGAGCACTTGTCCAGTATGCATGTTTCCCGGGACTCAATCCCCAGCACGACAAAGGAAAAAACAAAAAAAGATTCACCAGTCTTATACTTTATGCAAAAGTCAAGCAAATCTTTCCCCTCCTATTTCTATAAGCCTTCCTATTTACTACTTTCCCTGTATGGATTATGCTTCCTCTTTGTAAAATTACCATAGGCCAGGCATGGTGGCACACGCCTGTAATCTCAGCACTCAGGCTGAGGCAGGAAGATCACTGTAGGTTCGAGGTGGGCCTGGGCTACATAGTGAGGTCAAGACCAATCTGAACTACATAATGAGACCCTGTCAAAAAACAAAACCCAAACTTTACTAACTGAGTGTGTGTGTGTGTGTGTGTGTGTGTGTGTGTGTGTGTGTGTGTGATATGCTGGGTATCAAACTAACTGAGTGTGTGTGTGTGTGTGTGTGTGTGTGTGTGTGTGTGATGCTGGGTATCAAACCCAGAGCTTTGAGCATGCTAGACATTGAGATACATCACCAGCCCCTCAGTAGCTTTTTATAACACTAGATCTGTGCGTTCACTTTGTATTTGTAAGTCATTTAAACTTTTTTCACTTCCTCCGTTAGAATTTAAGTTCTTCAAGTTCAAAAAGGGGAAGTTTTTTTTAATAGGTATTCATAAATACCTCTTAAAGGTTCTGCTGTAGTAGTTGCTCACAAATAATGCTCACTGACTTGGCTAGCTAGTAGTACTCAGTGTTATACTCTTTCAGGTTCACTGTATTAGCACAGAGTTTACTATGAGGAAACATGGTGGAGAAAAGGGTGTGCCATTCCGAGTACAAATAGATACCTTCAAAGAGAACGAAAACGGGGAGTATACTGAGCACTTACATTCAGCCAGCTGCCAGATCAAAGTCTTCAAGGTATTCGTGAACAGTGTGTGGGCCTTTGGTCTCTTCTTCCTTATCTTTCTGTGTTAACATGGGTTGCCCAGTGAGAAAGTCATCTTGTCTTTTTTGTAAAAGCTATGCAAACTTACTCTAAGCTAGAGCTTTCAAGTAATCACTAAGATAACTGGTAAAGTAATTTATAAGGGGGGGTGTCTCGAGTATGGGAACTGGGAAAGGGGAAAAATGTATTATTTGTCCTTGAAGCCTGTTGAAGTTACAGTCTCAAAAAAATTATAATGTGTTTGACTGTTTTGATTACATTCATTCTTGATATTCTTCCTGTATTTTGATCTTTTTTTTTTTATGGTACTGAGGATCTAACTCAGAACCTTGTGCTTGCAAGGTAGGCACGCGGTGCCATTGAGGTAAATCCCTGGCCCTTGATCTTTATTTTTAACACAGATAAATCCGTTTTTTAATTTTTATTTTTTGGTGCTGGGGATCAAACCCAGGGCATTGTGCATTCTAAGAAAATACTACCACTAATCTGTTCCCAGGTCCCAGTAAATATATTCTCCTTGGAAGATATAGAATAATATAAAAGTATCCAGAATACAACACTGAAAATCCCCTGTGAACTTTCTTACTGTGATTCCCCAACCCGCCCCCAGAGAGGGCCACTTTCATCCTTCTGCTTCCTCAATATGCTTTACACATGTCCATGCATCGGTGTGTACATTTTTCCTTTCTTTAAAACATAAATGAGATTAGACTATATAAATTATTTTAAGACTTTCAGTTTTGATTTTTTTTCATTTAGCTATGTGCTTTAGAAATCTTTCCATTTGTCTTATTCAGTTGCAGCAGTCATTTGAATTTAATATCTTCAGCCTTAGATGGGGTGATGGATTTTGTCTGTACATCATTGTGCATTCATGTTTATTTTATATATGAATATTTAAGTTTAAAATTAATATTGTTGGAAAGCTGGGCATGATGGTGCATGCCTGTGATCGCAGCACTCAGGAGTATGAGGCAGGAAGATCGCTGTGAGTTCGAGACCAGCCTGGGCTACATAGTGAGTTCCAGGTCAGTCTCAACTACATAGTGAGACCCTGTCTCAAAAAAACCAAAAAAAAAAAAAAAAAAATTAATATTGTTGGATCAAAGGGTGAAGTTTAAAACAAAGTATTTTTCTTTTCAGCCCAAAGGTGCAGACAGAAAGCAAAAAACAGATAGAGAGAAAATGGAGAAAAGAACGCCTCATGAAAAGGAGAAATATCAACCTTCCTATGAGACAACCATACTCACAGAGGTAAAATTTTAGTCCATAATTTTGGTGACAGTTTCAGTGTTGTTGTTGTTGTTGTGCTAGGAATTCAACCCAGGGCCTTGTGCATACGAGGCAAATGCTCTACCACTGAATTATACTCCAGACCCCAGTTTTTCACCCTTAAAAGAAAAATCCATCACTTCAAGCCTGTTCTAAATTTACTTTTGAGCCTATTTTCTTTTGCTTATGGAAATTTCTGAGTAAGATTTACTAATCAAATCAAAATGTGCTGTTTGTATAACAGTATTTAGTGGAATACTAGGATGAAAGTGCTTTTTATCTGCATTATCCTTTGTTTTTAGTGTTCTCCATGGCCCGAGATCACATATGTCAATTCCCCATCACCTGGTTTCAACAGCTCCCATAGCAGTTTTTCTCTTGGGGAAGGGTAAGTCTGAGAAGTGATACTGGCTCGTGTTTGTACCAAATATGTCCTCTTTCATTATATCTCCATAAACAAGATCTTTCTCAATCAATAAGTACTTCTATCTGGTCAGTCTTTGAATTTTTATATTGACTGAGATTTGGATTATCTTCAAAGAATACTGACACTGTTATATAGTTGTTTCTCCTCCTCTCTCTCCTTGTCCTTGAAGTATCACTGGACATCAGAGCATTTATGGCCAGTTTTTAGTGATCGAGAAACATTATCTGGGTTATTTCACTTCCTGATCATACTTGAATCAGGCAGTGGTCATCTGGAATGGGAAGCATAGTTTTATAAATGCTAAAATCTGTTCTGTTACTTCTAAAGAATGCTCCTAACATGTAATTATTATGGATCTTGAATGTTGAAGAGGATGGCTGAAATAAAATTTTAGAATTATCTATGGGATGCATTCAATCTTACCTTAATATCTTTTACTATCAGAGGTAATTGAACGTTGGTATAAATGCCTACCTTAGTTTTAACAAAGCTCTCATATGGTCCTCACATTTAGCATATGTTCCATAGAACCATATTAAAATCTGGAGACAGCCTACTAAATGTGTAGGCATATTATTCGGTTGTATTTGTTGTTGGATTTATTTAAGCTCTATATTTGACCTGCTTTTTTTCTATATCATTTTTTATGAGTGCAAACTGGCTATCCAGATTAATGGGTTTCTTTTTGGCAGATTTGTACATGCACATGACATACTTTGGTCATTCCTACATCCCTTCCTACTCTTGGCCTCCTCTCTCCCCAGCTTCACTTTTTGGGGGGTTTCAAAGTCTACAATCTCAAAGAATTTAATTACTGGGGGCTGGGGATTTAACTGCACCTGCCTCGCAAGTTTAAGGTCCTGAGTTCAATCCCCAGTACAAAAAAACTTAACCGATTTTCCTTGTTTAACCACCCAGCTGTTTTATGACTATTCAGAGTTAAGCCTGACACATGCTGTTTGGACTGCAACCCGCTGCTCCAATTTATGACCTGTCTGTTTTGGGGGTTTTTTTTGGTGCAATTCTGTACATCTTGGGCTGGGCATTTAGCCCAGTGGTTCCACTGCCTGCCTCGCAAGCACAAGGTCCCGAGTTTGATCCCCAGTACCAAAAAACAAACAAATAAACAAACATACAGTTCTGTACATTTTGTTTAGTGAAATTCAAGCCACAATGTCTTTTTTTTGTTGTTCAATAACCTTGTTTATATAGTACTGTAATTTTAGCTGATTGTACTGTAGTTTTGCATTCTGTTATTATGGTACCGTGTCTAAGAGTTAAGCAAATAAAAGCAAAGTCATCAAGTTGGAGTTTCCTTTGACCATCTCTTTGTTTGGAATATTGAACATGCTATATACAAGTACTCATTTAGCAACCAATGCATTCAGTGACCTAGCAGCAGGAGCAGAACTCAGTTCTGTCAACTCAGTTCAGTTAAAGGAAGAAAAGAAGAACATCTGTAGTATAACAATTGAGAATATTCAGAATGTAACACTTAAGAATAGCTGTACAGGGAATGCATGTTACTAAGGCTCTGAGATAAATTTATTACTGTGTTTTAATACCAAATTTTAATTTTGCAGCTAAAGCTAAAAAAAGAATAATTTTGTGTTTGTTTGTTTGAGATAGAGGCTCTCTGTGTTGCCCAGGCTGGCCTTAAACTCCTGGGTTCAAGAGATCCTCTTGCATCAACCTTCCTAGTAGCTGGAACTTCAAGGCTGTGCTAGTGCACCTGGCTAAAAAGAGTTCTCTTTCTTTTTTTTTTTGGTACTGGGGATCGAACTCAGGACCTTGCACTTGCAAGGTGGGCGGCAGCACCACTGAGCTACATCCTTGGCCCAAAAGAGAAAGAAAAAATTATCTAAAAGGATAATACCGTCTACTTATGGGCGATTTTAAAATATATAGTCGGAGGGCTCTGTTTAAAATTTTTTCTCTTCTTTTTGTCTTGTACCCCATTATTAGGCTCAATTTTTTTCTCCCGTTAGGGAAGTAAACATTAGGGAAGAGGGATTATGCATACACAAATGAAAGTACAAGGGTGTAGAGATAGTACTTGCATCACAAATTAGTGCCAATTTTTGAAGCTGCTTTAAAAGTAATTGTTTTCTGAGCCAGGTGTGATGGCGCATGCCTGTAATTCCATTACTTGGGAGGCTGAGGCAGGAGTATTGCTATGAGTTTAAGGCCAGCCTGGACCACATAGTGAATTCAGGGCCAGCCTGAACTACAAAGGAAGAACTTGCCTAAAAAAAAAAAAAATTGTTTTCAGCAGGGTGTGGTAGTACATGTGTGAAATCTCAGCATATTGGGAAGCTGAATCAGGAGGTTATAAGTTTGAGCCCAGCCTGGGCAATTTCTACCAACTTAGTGAGACGTCTCAAAAATAAAAGGATCAGGTCTATATAATCAATAACCACTAATAAAAAAAGTGGGGAAAAACAGGCTGTACATATAGTTCAGCATAAATTCTTTGAGCTCAATTCTTGCTAAAACCAACAAAAAGCATTTAGCACTCATTAAATTTTCTTCCAAAATTTTCCTGTATATATACTGTACATATTTATATATTTAATATAATAGTAAACTAGTAGTACTTATACATTTTGATTATCTTTCATTCTAATAGATTTTTTGCCTTTTGTTTTGTGGTGCCAGGAGTTTAACCCAGTGTCCCGCACATGGTGTACCATTGAGCTACATGCTCAGCCTCTTGCAGATATTCTCTGTGCTATAATTTATCTCCTTACTTTCAACTTACTCAACTTTTGATATTTTTCTTAGTTTTCTCAGTAATATAAAAGTATCGCAAATGACATCGTTTCTCCTCCTTACCCAGAGTCTTTAGTTTACATTACTAATACATAACTGAAGTATTGGGTCAAAGAATAAAAATGTTTTATGAGTGAACACATTCTTTTAGATCTCTGGCTTAAGACTTATTGTGAAGATGATGAATGAGATAATGAGCCCTCATACGTGTATGAACTCACCCTTTCATTTTAAATGTTTCTTTAGAAATGGTTCACCTAACCACCAGCCAGAGCCGCCCCCTCCAGTCACAGATGTAAGTCTAAAGCTAAATGTCAGTTCCTTGCAATATCTAGTCATATTTTGATGACTATAGAAATGTCCAACTTTTAGTGAATATGAATAATTCATTCACAAAGCAGGCATTTATTGCATTTTTACTCTGAACCAGATACCGTGCTAGGGACTGGAGATAAGAAGTATTTAATACAAGATTTGCGGATAGGTTTGTTTTTTTTGTTTTGTTTTGTTTTGAGATGGGATCTCACTGTTGTCCAGTTTGATCTAGAACTTGTAGGCTTAAGTGCTTCTCCCACCCCAGCTTCCTGAGTAGCTATGAATTTGAGTTGTTTACAATCAAGAGGAAATGACAGGGAGAGAATAAGGATAGAACCCTGTGGATATCTCCCATGGTTAGAGACAGAGAATAATGTGGTACAGTGTAAACAATTTCCAAACAAACTAGGCTATTCTGTGTGTGTGTGTGTGTGTGTGTGTGTGTGTGTGTGTGTGAGAGTGTGGGTGCTTAGCTATTTGTTACCTGATAAGGTAATAGATTAATCTATTAAATTACCAGAAAAAAATTTTTTTTGTTTTCAGAACCTCTTGCCAACAACTACACCTCAAGAAGCTCAGCAGTGGTTGCATCGAAACCGTTTTTCTACATTCACAAGGCTTTTCACCAACTTTTCAGGTTAAATCTGCTTTTCCTTTTGTTTCACCCCAGCAGAGGATGTTCTTTTGTATTCTAGAGCTTCCTGATATTCATGTGGTGGGGTATGTGTGTATTTGTTTAACACACACACACACACACACACACACACACACACACACACACAGAAAGAGAGGGAGCGGGAGAGAGAGACAGAGGTCTTGATGGATTCTTTTTTATTTTGAAAAAAGTTAAAGTTTATTAATAATATTTAACATCACATAGTTAATTCAACTAGTATCTTAGTGGATTTTTTTTATGATAAATGAATTCCATAAACTCCTTCAAACTTTTTTACCAACTGCAACAGTGCTGCTGTGAGTTCTTAAGAAGAAATATGTCTTTGTTTTAACTCCTTTAATTCTAGAATAGGTATTTATAATACTTTTTTTTTTTGGTACCAGGGATCGAACTCAGGACCTTGTGAGGCTTGCAAGGCAGGTGCAGTGCCACTGAGTTAAATCTCCGGCCATCATAGAATAATTCTTAAGATGTATATTTAATACAATATTTTATCGGGGAGCATTTGCAGACAGTCTGAGATTTTTCCCTTGCTATTACTATATTGTGTTTTATTTACATAATCCACTTTTCTTTTCTTTTTTATTCTGTGTTCTAGCAATGGTAGGAATACCTAAATGGAGAAGGCATATTTCCCATTCACAGAGCTCATTCATCATATAGTGTTTAAAAAAAATGAAGCAAAATAAAACCCTAGTAGATAAGTGTTCCACCAGAAGTGTGTACAAAGTGAGATGTTCAGTAGAGGGCTTGGTAAGCTGTTTAGGGAAAACGTGTGATATGAGGTAAAACTTGAGGGATGACGAGAAGAGGCATTGGTCAGATAGTGGAAAGAGATTTCAGGTGGGAAGAACAACTTGAGCAGTCAGCAGCATCAGAATGGTGAAAGAGCATGGTTAGGTGCAGAAGTTAATTGGATGAAAATTGGGATAGAAGAGGAGGCAGGAACCAGGCCATCAAGGGCCTTGCACCATGCAAAAGATTGTGGACTGTAATATACTGGTGATGAGGTGTCCTTGTAACAGAGGCTATTTTAACAAAGAGTCCTTGCCTTTATCACCTATTTTCTTATTTTATTCCAGGGGCAGATTTATTAAAACTAACTAGAGATGATGTGATCCAAATCTGTGGTCCTGCAGATGGAATCAGACTTTTTAATGCTTTAAAAGGCCGGTATGTAATTAGTGTTAAAATATCAATGAGGTTGGATGTCAAGTGGATTTGGATTCAGGTTTTCTTCACAGTACTCTGCATAGCAAGTTTATGTACCAAATATAAACAGATGAAAAATACGATTTCATATATTTATCACAAAAAATTCCCCATGATATCTCATTTTCACTTCCAGGTAGTTTCTTCATTCAGTAAATGCTCTTCATCCTTATCGTGAGCCAGGTACTTTTGTAGGCCATATAAAATTATTGATGAACAAAACAGACAAGTTGTTAAGGAATTAACTTTCTAATAGGATGATAGATAAAAATGATAAGTATTTTGGACAATGATAATGGCTTTGAAGGAAACAATCTAAAAAACAGGATTGTGGGCTATAGAGTACCTGAAATATGGTCAAGAGAGTGCCATCTCAGCTGGGTATGGTGGCACATTCCTGATATCCTCACTACTCAAGAAGCTTGGGCAGGAGGATTGCAAGTTTGAGGCCAGTGTAGGCAATTTAGTGAGGCTCTTTTATTGAAACAAAACCATGGTGCATTTCAGACATACATAATAATAAAATTCATCATAGGGAATTGGTACTTGTACGTGATATATCTTGCTTCTGTTTTTCCCTGCTGTCCTTTAGCTATAAATGTCTGAAGCCTGTCCTTCTTTATGACAGAGTAGTACTCCATTGTTTAGAAAGACCATTTCTTCTTTATCCATTCATTGGTTGATGGGCATTTGTGCTGTTTCCAAGATTTAGCTATTGAAAACTGTGCCACTATGAACATGAATATATGCATATCTCACTGTGGTAGGATGCTTTTAATTCTTTTGGGAAGATACCAAGAAGGAAAATGGCTAGAGCCAATGGAACTTCTAGTTTTAGTATATTAGGGACTCTCCACACTGATTTCCACAGTGCTTGCACCAAAATACACTCCCACCAACAGTGAAGATGGGTTCCTTTTTCCCCACAGCTCCACTAGCATTTGTTATTGCTTGATTTCTTCATAGCAGCCATTCTTTCTGGAGTGAGATGGAATCTCACTGTTTTCATTTGCATCACTCAAACGACTAGTGATGTTGAACATTTTTTCATATATTTATTGGCCATTTCTACTTCATCTGAGAAGTGTCTATTTCAGATGCACATTTTTAGATTGGTTCTGTAGATTTCGGGGGTCTGATGTTTTTGTGTTCTTTATATATTCTAGGTATTAGTCTATTGTCTGAGGAATAGCTGGCAAAAGATTTTCCCCACTCTGTGGGTTGTCTCTTCACTCTGTTGGGGTTTCTTTCTTTCTTTTTTTTTTTTTTTTTTTTTTTTTTTTTTTTGGTACTGGGGATCAAACTCAGGACCTTGCACATGTGAGGCAGGTGGTGGAACCACTGAGCTAAATCCCCAGCCCTGTTGGGCTTTCTTTTGCTGTGCAAAGCATTTTAATAAGATGAAATCACTGTTGTCGATTCTTTGTGATATTTCTTGTGCTATCAGGGTTTTGTTTGCCTACACCAGTGTCTTCAAGAGTTCTACCTATTCTATCATCCACCAGATTTAATGTTTCTGCTCTACTATTTAGATATTTGATCCATTTTGATTGTGTTTAGTGCCTGGTGAAAGATATGGGTCTAGTTTTAATCTTCAGCATATGGAAATCCAGTTTTTCCAGTACCATTTATTAAAGAAGTTATGTTTCTTCTAGTGAAGGTGTTTGGCTTTTTTTGTCAAAGATAAGGTAGCTGAGCATGTTTCTGCATCTTCTAATCTGTTCCATTGATCCTTGAGTCTGTTTTTTTGCCAATACCATGAGCTTTGTAGTATAATTTCAAATTAGGGGTTGTGATGCCCCCTGCCTTGCCTTTGTTGCCCAGAATTGCCTTTGCTATTCTAGGTATTTTATGGTTCCAAATGAATTTTTAGATTGTGTTCTCTAGTTCTGTGAAATATGCTGCTGGAATTTCAATCGGAATTGCACTGAATCCATATAGCAGTTTTGGAAGTTTGGCCATTTTCACTGTATGGGTTCTTCCTTCCCAAGAACAAGGGATGGACTTTCCTTTATAGATGATTTATTTCTTTTGTCTAACAGCTTTTTTTTTTTCAATACTGGGGATCAAACTTGGGTCCTTGTGCTTGCGAGGCAGGTGGCAGCACCACTGAGCTAAATCCCTGGCCCTGTCTAACAGCTTTTTAATATTCTGTTCTTGTGTTGAATTTCTGGAATCTTGACTATTATATGTGTTGGGAAAGATTTCTTTTATATTTTTGATTTATTGGAGTCCTATGTGCCTCTCTTATCTGTATATCTAATTCTTTTTCCTGTTTGGGAAGTTTCTGCCATCACTTCTGTGAACAGGTTTTTTATATCATCTGTGGTAGCTCCTACATTTTTTATTGACTGAGAATCTTATGTTATTCTTTTTTTCATTCTCTAACAGCTGTTGGATTGATTTTTTTTTTTTTTGTGGTCCTTTGCAATTTTTAAGAGATCTTTCTTTTCATGATCATTAACTGCAATCCTGTCTTCTCTATCTGGTATTCTGTCCTCACATTGGCTCATTCTGCTGTATATACTTTCAATGGAATTTTTAATCTCTGGATATCTGTTTGAATCAGTTTCATGGATTCCATTTCTTTTCTATGCTGGGTGTTCATGGTTTCCGTCATTTTCCTAAGTGCCTGTATTTTTTTTTTAAATCTGTATTTGCTCTAGAGTCACTAATCATGTCTTACTATGGTCACCACCATCTCTGTAGTTATCTCAGAAACTATTTCTGATTTGATTTTTTTCTAGGGCCTCATTAATCTACTTTGTTATTTACTTACACTGTTACCACTTTAAAGAGTCTAGGTGGGTGGTCTTTGGATTGTTCCACCTCTTTGGTGAGCTAAAGTTTGGAGTTGCCTCTTGCTTACATGTCTTCTCATTTTTTAAAAAAAATTAATTCCTGGATTCATGCTTGTAAATTGGGTATGGCAAGTAGCTTTATGGCTAGTATTTAGAACCCTTGGGAAATGACTACTTCTCAGAGATGTCTTCTAGGTATTTCTGGCTTTTCAGTTTTCAGTCTATTGCAAGATCCTACCTCTTCAGTTTATTTGGGATGAGAAGTTCCTGAGTATTTGGCCTCATCCCTGGTTCTTTGGCACTGGCCTATATATAGTATTGTTTATGACCTTAGATAATCTCAATTCTGTTATACCAGGAAGAACAACTGATTAGAACCATTATGTCACCTTGGCTAAAGTGCTACGATCAGCAATAACAGTAGCATCAAACAAAGCCTAGAAAATGACAAACTGTGGTAACTTGATTTGCCATCTTTATCCATATGAACTAGATTTGTGGTTATATAACAAAATCTATAACAATATTGTATATAGTAAATATACCCTCAGTATAGTGACTTTACTCCCAGGGAAGAAAATTTAAAAGGGGTTACAGGGAGAAATAGAGAAATAGAAGAGGCAGAGATTAGAAGGCTGGAGGACAAAGGAGGATTATGCACACTTTTGGAAAGTGGTGAAGACAGGAGGGAAAGATGGAAGAAATAAAAACAGGAAGTGAACAGAACAACAAAAACTAAAAACAATGTTCACAGTTTTATAAAAACAGGATCAAACAATCAAGAAAAAAGAAAAATGATCAGAAGTTCAAGGCCAGCTTGGGCTGTTTAACAAGACTGTCTCAAAATAAATAGGTCTGTGGATGCAGCTCACTGGTCAGAGTCCTCATGTGCAGTGGGAGAGTCTGAGTTTAATCCAAAGTATTGCAAAAAAAAAAAAAAATCACCTTTTTAAGTAAAAAGTTTATCTTGACATAGGCCCATAAAACAGTGATTTACACATTTTTAATATTTCTAACTTTTTTTTCCTGGTACTGGGGATGGAACTCAGAACCTTGCACTTGCCAGGCAGGCATGGTGCCATTGAGCTACATCCCCGGACCCCAAGACTTCTAAGTTTTATACCCAAGGTCATGAACCTATATTCCTACAGGGGCAACACAGGTAATGAAAAGGAATGATAGTCCAAGTCTAGGATGTAGTGAAGAATATACATACAGTGTAAAGAAAACAGGATTTTTTCATGTAAGAGTGAGGACCCTGGATTGCTAGATCTGCATTTTCAAGAAAAGTCAAAATTCAGAGGTTAATATGGATGCTTCCTATTGGAACTAAGATAACTTAAACAAATAATACCACTAATAAAATGTAGCAAATGTATTACATTTGACCCCTGAGCTGCCAATTTTCAACCCCTGCCCAAACTATTAACATAGAAAAATGAGCTCTCTCTTAAATTATGCTTACTTTATGAAATATAAGACTATCAGCCCTTTTCTTCCCTTCTCAGGATGGTGCGTCCAAGGTTAACCATTTACGTCTGTCAGGAATCATTGCATTTGAGGGAGCAGCAGCAGCAGCAGCAGCAGCAGCAACAGCAACCGCAACAGAAGCATGAGGAGGGAGACTCAAATGGTACTTTCTTCGGTATGTTGTCCTGGGCACACTAGGGCAAATATGAAGGTGAAGAGATGACTTACAAGCATGTGTGACGGGAATTTATCAAGCAAGATTCAGCAGGTGCTAGAAGTAATAGTAATGGCTTACATTTCCTGAGCTCTTAATACATAACAGGAGCGATTCTCAACAGTTTTTACACACTTTCATGTTTACTACTAATAATCTCTTTGCTGTACATTTTATTGTACATTTTCCCCAACATTTAGACGAGGGAAATGAGACTTAGGGATATTAAATAGTTGAGCTGGGATGTGCAGCCAGGCAATATGATTGTTTTGTTTGTTTGTTTCTGTTTTTCAAGACAGGTCTCGTTATATATTTTGAGCTGGTTTTGAACTAGTGGCAAATCCTTCTTCCTCAGTCTCCCAAATGCTGGGATTACGGGGATGTGCCACCACACCTGGTAACAGGCAGAGTGTGATTTTTTTAAGTCCTTCAGAAAAGTGAGCATTCCTAGTAATCAAATTGCCTGTAAAAACAGAGAACTTTTAGCCTTGTGTGATGATACAAGCCTCTAAGCCCAGCACTCAGGAAATGAGACAGGGAAATCTAAAGTTCAAGCCCATCCTGGGCAATTTAGCTACATAGTGAGGCCCTGTTTCAAAAGGAAAAAAAAAAAAAAGGACCGGGGATATAGCTCAGTGTGAAGGCCCTGGGTTCAATCCTCAGTACTCCCACTCCTACCCAAACAAATAAAAAGCACAGAACTTTTGTACTGACTGCTGCGTTCTTCCTGTTGCAGTGTACCATGCCATCTACCTAGAAGAACTGACAGCTGTTGAGTTGACAGAAAAAATAGCTCAGCTTTTCAGCATTTCTCCCCGCCAGATCAGCCAAATTTACAAGCAGGGGCCAACAGGAATCCATGTGCTCATCAGCGATGAGGTTGGTTTGGTTTCTTTCTTTTTTTTCTTTTTTTTTTGGTACCGGGGATCTAACTCAGGATCTTGTGCTTGCCAGGCAGGCGCAGTGCTACTGAGCTACATCCCAGCCCTGAGGCTGGTTTTTTTTAGTACAGTTGAATTATGAGATGACAGTGATTTGTCATGTCATACAGCAAGAGCAAGGTCAGTTCTACTGGGGTCGGGGTCTGTTTTCTAGACTAAACTTTCTTTTTTTTTAATTTAAATTTGTTGTTTGTAAGAGACAGAGTCTCACTGTGTTGTCCAGATTGGCCCTTGAACTCCTGGGCTAAATGATGCTCTTGCTTTAGCCTATAGCTAAGTAGCTAAGACTATAGGTATGTGCTGCTGTGCCTTGCTCAGACTTTTTCCTTGCATTCTCTTAAACTAATTTTTAAAAATTGATATGTATCACTTTGTAAAATTTTAGACTGACCTAAAATTTTTGTTTTAAGTGTAAGCAGTTACAAAAGAATTCCCATTTGGATACAGATCTTTTGTAGATGGGAAGGGGAACACTTATCACATACCACCTCCCCATGATGAATGTAATCATTATGTACTGCAAATATTTACTAATAAAAGTAAAAATCGAAAAATAACAGATTTCCCATGGCAGGGAGGTGATTGTAAAAGGTGTTGTTTTGGGGCCAGGGATTTAGCTCAATGGTTCTGTTGCCTGCCTCGAAAGTGCAAGGTCCCGAGTCTGATCACTGGTACAAAAAAACCAAAAATAAAAAAAGATGTTGTTCTTGTTGAGTGTGGTGGTATGTGCCTATAATCCCAGCACTCAGGAGGCTGAGGCAGGAGGGTCGCTACAAGTTTGAGGCCAATCTGAACTACAAAACAAAAACAACAAAAGTTTTCATTCTTGGGCACATATATAACATTTAAAAATGAAAACTTTACGTTACTATTCTAATTGTGTTGCCTGCAACCTAAATATGGATGTGACCCCCCTCTCCCAGTACTAGGGATCGAAATTATGAGTGATTTAGTGTAAGCATCATCTATTTGTAAAATGTTACTCTGCCTTTATTTATGAATTAGAAGTTTTGTATTATTCCTGTTTCTTACAACTCATATTTCCATTCACTTTTCCCATCGACTTTTGTTTTATAACATTTTTATGCTTGAACATCTATTATTGATTGTCCCACCATATTCCTTTGAAACAAAACTGTTTCTGCCAAAATGTTTTTCTCAATAGAAGTTGAAAATCACTTCATTTGACTAGACTTATCATCATAATTATAAAACTGATTAAAAAACCAAAGTGGTTACTGAAAGTCAAAAACAGGGGCTAGGATATAGCTCAGTGGTAGAGCATGTGCTGAGCATGTTGTACAAGACTCTGAGTTCAAAGTCCAGTAGCCTAGAAGAGAAAAAGAAAACAACTTATTAAACAGAAGTGATCGTGCATGTCTATTATTCCCACCAATTGGAGAGGTGGAGGCAGAATAGCATGTTTGAGACCAGCTTGGGCAATAAGCAAGACTCTGTCTCAAAATAAAATGAAAAGTTCTGGAGACGTAGCTCAGTGGTGGAGTGCCTCACACACATGAGACCCTGGGTTCATTCAGTCCCTGATACTGCCAAAAAAATACTGCCTATTAATTGCCAAAATGACACAGAGTTCAGCATAAATTTCATCCTGTTTTTCCTTCTAGATATAAGTGCTATGGAGCCTGATTCACCTAAATTGATAGATGGATGGAATCTTTAAGTATAACAAGACCACTGGACTTTTTTGAACATCCGAGTTACATGTTTAAAATTACATAATGATGTTACCAAAAATTATTTTGAGTCATCTATCCCTTGACAGTATGTGATTAGGTCACTCTTCAATTTTGGTGACTCATAGGAGGGTTAGAGACCCTGTTATTATAGTTTACCTTTGTAGTTCCACGTTTGCACTCTGAGGCTCTTATACCCTAGGTGGGATACCTCACTAGGATTTAAGAAAGATGAAAGTTATGCTTTTGTAAAATAGGAGATGGAGACTTGGGAAGGGAAAATAGGGAAGACAAACTAAGGAGGTTTTTTTTTCTTTTTGGTTTTGGTTTTTTGAGATAGGGTCTCACTCTGTAGTTGAGACTATGTAGCCCGGGCTAGTCTCAAATTCACAGCAATCCTCCTGCCTCAGCCTTTTGGGTGCTGGGATTACAGGCGTGCGCCACCACACCTGGCTACTAAGGAGTTTTTAGTAAGGAATACATGGTATAGGGAAGTTGAAGACCTAGAATTCAGTTCTTCCATATGGGAGTGTTGCTGTCTTTGTACTCCTTGGAAAGCCTTGGTATTAAGTATTATCCTGGGGGAACACATACTCCACTTTTAAGACCACTATTCTAGGTGGCTGTTTAAACTTTAAAAATCAAACATGGGGAAGAAAAACTCAAAACAGACAAATACCAAATAGGTTTGTGAAGTGTGCTTTTCAAAACTGGGAGGAAAACACTTATACAATTCTATAGAAATTCATGAAATATTCTTTCTTATTTTTTATCTGTAAAACCCCTTGTATAAACCCCTCTCGATGTGGGATAGTCCTTAACAACATAGAAATAGAAAATAGTTATATTTCACCTAAATCTAATGTCATGAAAAGCCACATGGTCAAAATAAACAAAGCAAACCAATATTTTTAATAATCATCAAATTTTCTTGTTTTTTCCAGATGATACAGAACTTTCAGGAAGAAGCCTGTTTTATTCTGGACACAATGAAAGGTAATAACACAGTAAGGTAAATAACTTTTTCCTAAGGATTTTATTTGTTTTTTGGTACCGGAGATTGAACTCAGGACCTTGCGCTTGCGAAGCAGGAGGTGGTACCACTGAGCTAAATCACCAGCTCACCAGCCCTAAAGATTTTTTTTTTTTTTTTTTTTTTTTTTTAGTGCATTGGGTACTGTGTTGGGCTCTGGGAGTGAAATAGAAATAACAGGTGTAGTCTTTGTGTTTGTGGAGCTTGCAGTGTAATAAAGGAGACAAACATAAATTAACTGGGCACATTTATGTATAAATTGACACTAGAATGCGTTATAGAAAAGAAACATGG